TAAGTTTAAATTAATTTTGTCCTTAAATTTGCATATTTATTGGTAAATATCATTAGATATAAAATTAAATTTTTTTATTATGATAAAAATTAAATTATAATAGCTATAGTATACTTGGCTATATTTCACATATGTACATATATATTTATCTTGAAAATAATGCTTGTTGATCAATATTTTTTTTTCATTTTACAAGTAAGGAAAGCGGAAAACTCGAGTGATTATTTTTTTTTAAAATCACACTCAGTTTTTGAGAACACCTCTAAAACACAACACAAAAAAGTAAATTTAAAATTATTAAAAGTAGGAAATAGGGACACTTGGGTGGCTCAGTCCTTAAGCGTCTGCCTTCGTCTCAGGTCATGATCTCGGGGTCCTGGGATCGAGCCCCACATCGGGCTCCCTGCTCCGCGGGAAGCCTGCTTCTCCCTCTCCCACTCCCCCTGCTTGTGTTCCCTCTCTCGCGTCTCTCTCTGTCAAATAAGTAAATAAAATCTTTTTTTTTTTTTTAAGCTGAAACTCTCACTTTTCACATCTGTAACCAGATTTAAAATTGTGTTCTTGATTTTGTTATCAGATTTTTGGTGTCTATTTAAATATGTCATGTCTTCATGTACATACCCAACATTGATCAGTCACATCTTTTATATGGGTTTCAGTCTTAATCATGTGTTTGCTGAAAATTGAATAGGTTCAAAATTGAACTTGAAAATGCTTTAAATTGCTTCTAAGTGGCATGTTTATCATTCACTGTTTAACTTGATATATTCAGCTACCTGTACTTGGGAGAGAGAGGGGAGATTTCAAAGAATGTTGATGATCAGGCAACCATCATCATCTCCTGTTTTCTGAAATGAGATCTTTGAGATTCAAAGAGGATTAGATTAAGCCCATTCAAAGAAATAGAAATTCAAAGTAGAATCATTATTGACATCATACATATGACAGTAGTTTTATATTTTTGGGAAAATATCCAGTAAACATGATGTTTTAAAACCCTGTATCTCATTTTTTGACAATCTGCTCACAATGTACTGTGAAAAATCATAAAAGAAAATACATAGTTTTGAGCTGTACTTGCTAATTCTGTACCCAAACTTACATTCAATGATTATTTGCTTCAGGAAGGGTGTTGATGCCAGAAGGACCAAGGTCCCAAGATCTGGCTTTGTGTGTGACAGAATTCAAGAGCAAGACATTTAGAGAAAGGGACAAAGATTTATTAAGTATAGAAATAAGAAAGCGACTTCACAGAGTAGTGGTCTCTCTGAGGTAGGAAAGAACGTTAGGGTTTGAAGTTGAAAGCCAAGAATTCTTGAGACGTCTTTGGTGCAGAAAGGTGGTTTTATTAAAGCATGGGGACAGGACCTGGGGGTAGAAAGAGCTGCACGGGGGTCAAGAGGAGTGGCCCATTATATACTTTCAAGTTGGGAGGGGGTTAGGGATAGCTTAAGTCTCTAAGGAATTTTGGAAGCAAGGTTTCTAGGTCCTTGAGCAGGCTAGCTATTGTTGGGAAAAGGTCATTTATTACCATCTAATAAAACCTTAGTCCTGAGACCCTTCAGATGTATATCGGTGGGCCATATGCTTGGGGGATGGTTACCAACATGTATCTTGGGAGGGTTTAGAGATAAAGGATGTTTCCAAAGGAATTTTTATATGTTAAAGTAGACTTACAGGATCTTGGCAGGGAGGGGGCGGTTTGGGCTAAACTTGCCTTTTGCTCTTAGCAAAGTGTTAACACTGAGCCTCTGAATCCCTAGAGGAAGATCACTAGGCCTGTTTCAAGGACTTGTTGGTGGGCTGTAGGTAGTAAGGAAATTTAATAATTTGTCTTCTGCCTTTGTTTCCCACATCATCTCCTCCCAGATGGGGGAAGAGGACCCCCGTTTGCCTCTAATGAAGGGTTTTATAAGCTTTTTTAATTAGCTAACCATATAGGGAGGGGCTTACTCTTCAACTTTGGGCTTATTACTTACATTGGACAGTTCATTTTCCCATTGTCTTGGTGATGTGGTTTTGGAATATAGGTGAGGTTCAGAGGGATGAGGTCTGGAGCCAATGGCCAAGAAAGAATTCTTGAGATGTCTTTGGTACAAAATGGTGGTTTTATTAAAGCACAGGAACAGGACCCCTGGGCAGAAAGAACTGCATTTTAAGTGTGAGGAGTGACTGATTCTATACTTGGGAGTTGAGGGAGGTGAGGAAAATGGACGTTTTCAAAAGAACTTTCATATGCTAAAGAGGACTTACAAGATACCAGAGGCTTTGCCATTATCAAGTTAAGGTTGTTTTTCTCTCTAGCAAGGCATTAACATAAAGAGAATTGGGAGCATCCTGGAAGAATGTCACAAATGTTCCACCCAGGAGTGGGTTGGGGGGGTGGGGAGAGGTTGTAGGGCAAGGTTGCAGGGTGTTAGCCTGGCTTTGTCTTTAGCTAGCCTTTTGCTCCCTCATCATTGGGGTTGTGGAATTACCCACAAAGAACAATTTTAAGAACCTTCAGCCTTTGTGGCTTTTACTGCCAGAGGGAGTGGGGTCTGGTGGTATTCCGTGAGTTAGATCTTGTGATTCTTTTTATGACCTGCTTTTTTTTTTTTTCTTTTTTTCTTTATGACCTGACTTTAGGTTAAGGGTCAGCCTAAAACCAAAATGGCTTTAATTAATCCGGTCAACTTGCCCGAGCCTCCCTTCCCTCCTGCCTCAGTGTATTTTATTATTTTTTTTATTATTTTTTAAAGATTTTATTTATTTGACAGAGAGAGACACAGCGAGAGAGGGAACAGAGGTAATGCTTTATTTCTTGATGCAGGGGCTAGTCACATGGATGTGTATATTTTGCAAAATATATTGAGCTGTATACTCATGATTTCTCCATTTTTGTCCACATTTTTTATACCTCACTGTCATTTGCATCAACAGTAAAAAATTTATTTCAGTGCAAGCACCCATGCTAATTATAAGTTAAAGGATAATATTCAACCAAATTTTTGACCTCTTTGGCATTAGTCCCAAATTTGCTCCTAGTATGTAAAAGAAATGTCTTTGATTACTTGATTCAGATTCTGATTTTAATTTTAGTTGGAAGTGTGGTTTTTATTTTTTATGCTATCCTTTATTAAATGAATAAAAACCCTGATTTCAAAGCTTAAAAGGAAACACTTTGATAACTATTTTTTCTTTGTTCTTCTCCTTTTAGTGATAATGTGATCTAATGTTGAAATCTAATTAATGTCCCTCTAATGTCAAAACTAAGCTCTGCCGTTCTGTGAAACATACAGTCTACGGAGATGAGCTGGTAGCTGGAGCTCGTCCTAGTCTAAAGCTGAGAATTTTGACTTCTTAGAAAATTCAAGAAATATTTTATCCCGAAGTGAAATATCTCTGTTTGTTTTTTATTTTAAATTACCTTGTTCACCAGGTGGTTAGAGTTATCCTGAAATGTTTTCCATGGTTAAGCACATATATAGAATTTGAAGCTGAAGTATCAAGCTCATGGTAAACCTTAATATACATTTGCTGTTATTTACTATTATTATCATTATATTTATCCCAACTTTACCACTTACTGTGTAGCCCTTGGCTATTGAAATTTAGTTAGAATTCAAACTTCAATTTCTGAATCCCATTAGCCTCATTTCGAGTGTTGAGTAGCCATAGTGGCTACTGCTGTGTTGTACAGAACACAGAGCATGTCCTTCAGCACAGAAAATTCTGTTGGATAGCACTAATTTATGTAATTAGAATAATCCATTTCTCAGAGTTTTTACTAAAGAAGATAATGTTTTATAGAATCCTTAGCATTATAATGGCAAATCAAAAATGCTTGATACAGGGCGCCTGGGTGGCTGTTGGTTAAGTGTCTGCCTTCTGCTCAGGTCATGATCCTGGAGTCCCGGGATCGAGCCCTGCATCCGACTCCCTGCTCAGCAGGGAGTCTGCTTCTCCCTCTGACCCTCACCCCACTCGTGTTCTCTCTCTCACTCTTTCTCAAATAAATAAAATCTTTAAAAAAATGCTTGATACATGATACTTATAATATCTTTGGTAAAAATAAGAATAACCAAACAATGAAAATAATAATATAAAACTTACATATCTAGTATCATGAATAAGGTGTATGTAGCCTTGTATAAATTCACTGAGACTCTCCTGCTTATCATTCCTGTTCCAAATATTCCATTATGAAATAATTCTCAAACTGGCATTCTAAAAAATCTCTGAAGTAGAAGCCATAGAGCCAGGCTAATAGATTATACACCCAGCTTCATTAAAAAATAAATAAAAAAACAAAAACAAAAAAACCACCACCAACATTCTAAACAACTATTTCCCTATTTAAATGCTTCAATGTTAAGAAACCTTAAATGTAGATCATAAGTACCTAAAACTAGGAACAAATCTGGTTAATTGGGATATAGAATGATTAAAAAGGAACCTGGATTAGTGTTCTAACCTTCTCTAATTATGATATGGCATCAACTAATTAGGATCTCTTTATACAGCTCTAGAGTTACTGGCTAAGAGCTCTTAACTTTTCTCTCACTGTCATTTGAGATCTTTTCGTGCATTATTTTATTTTTTCCCCTTCTGGAAATAGGTTAGGTCAAAACGACTATCACATGCTTTGCCTGTTACACAAGACAATGGCTAGGTAAACAATCAGTCCCATCCTTAAACCAATTTGGATCACAGCCCAGAGTTGAACCCATTAGACATGCCAATCAAAACACTTAATTCACCAGGCTGGACTGGGTTATAACAGAGTCTGTGTCCTTCCTATTCACAGTTGGGTAGTTATTATCATTCTAATAACAACCATTCATCCCTGTGGACACAAAGCCTGTTAATCTACATAATGATACCCAGAAAAATAGACTTATAGGAGGGTTGTATTGTGTTACTACAAAAGAACATCAGTCTACAAACAGAAATAAGCCCTTGAATATAGGTTGTTTTTTTTCCTGCTTATTTATACCCTGTGTTTTTTTCCCTCCTAGGCTACTGACAAAGATACTGGCAATTACAGTGCCATGGCTTACCGACTCATCATTCCACCCATTAAAGAGGGAAAAGAAGGATTTGTGGTGGAAACGTATACGGGGCTCATCAAAACTGCTATGCTCTTCCACAACATGAGAAGGTCCTACTTCAAATTCCAAGTCATCGCAACTGACAACTATGGGCAGGGACTGAGTGGCAAAGCGGATGTTCTGGTAAGTAGATAGACATCCGGATTAGGGGAGGCACGTGCACCTGCTAGTCTGTGGCCAGTGTTTCCAACTCACGGAACTTTTACATTTATTCGAAATAGGTTTTGTAAAACATAAATATGATTACTTTCCATCCAGATTGTTAGTAGCCACTGGTTTGGGATATGAAAGGTATAGGTTTAAGGCTGTGTATTTTTTGACATTTGGGAAATACACCATAATATGTTTTCATATATGGCTGCGACAACATTTCCACAAGTGTTGGATTTCCATTTGGTCTGTAGATTGCATTTTTTTTTTAAAGATTTTATTTATTTATTTGATAGAGATAGCCACAGCAGGAACACAAGCCGGGGGAGTGGGAGAGGGAGAAGCAGGCTTCCCGCCGAGCAAAGAGACCGATGTGGGGCTCCATCCCAGGACCCTGGGATCATGACCTGAGCTGAAGGCAGATGCTTAATGACTGAGCCACCCAGGTGCCCCTGTAGATTGCATTTTTAGTATAGAATTGGCTGGAGCCAGTTTTAAAATGCTTCGCCATATGCTGTAGAAATTAAAATGGATGGAATTTTTATTACTGTTTAAATTCCTTTCAGACCTTTTGTAATTAAGAAAATGAAAGGAAATGTTTTGGAGCAAATTTATGTTCCAATAGATGTAATTTCCTTCTTTTACCAAGATCCCCAATGATGGCATCGATGATCCCTGACTCAGTTATATTTGGCTTCAGTCGAGAATAACACTTTTCTCTTCTTTGTGTGAGGTGGCACAATCTCCCTGGTAGAGTATTCCCAAGGGCAGTTTGATATTACTGTTTGTTCAAGATATTCAACACCAATGCTTCTGTACTATGGAATTTCTGCCAACTTGGAAGCGTGGATTGTTTGGACTTTGATGAATCTAGTAAACATTATAATTTATAATTATTACTGGAAATACTTGTCACAGGAAGACAGAATCAAGTATAATTTTTCTTTTGCTGTTTACATCTTATTAGGTCTTCATTTTCACAGTTCCCTGCAGTTCTCTGAACGAGTTTAACCTTCTCATATATGTAGACATCACAGATCACATTTTTCTGCTAAATCATGAAGACCAACCGCCATGACTGTGGTGGGCATGAAGGCCAGGATGTCCTCAGTTAGAGCCAGAAAGCTGCACTAGAATAAACAAAGGCCGATCTAAGCCAAGAAGCTTTTGACAGAAGACTTTAAAGTTGACATAGGTCTTTAATCGAGTTAAGATCTATAAACCTGATGTCCATAATGTTGCTATTTCCCTTCCTGTTATTTCAGGACTACACAATGCGGTGCCGTCAGGATAGACAGTAAAGTCCCTACACTAAGGATAATTAAAATACTACAATAACAGGGACACCTGGGTGGCTCAGTTGGTTAAACGTCTGCCTTTGGCTCAGGTCATGATCTCAGGGTCCTGGGATGGAGCCCTGCATCGGGCCCCAGCTCAGTGGGAAGCCTGCTTCTCCCCCTGCTTCTCCCCACTGTTCATGCTCGTTCACTCTCTCTCAAATAAATAAATAAAATCTTAAAAAAAAAAATACTACAATAACATAGGTAAGATATAACTATATAAATTATCTATGTAATATGTACATGAGCAATGTGAAGTTTATGGGTTTCTCATTTGGATTCTGTAAACTATTGTGTGGAAATTTAAAAGTATACCTTTAAAATTACCCAAAATAAATGTAGGAAAAGTTATTTCAAGGTAATCATAATGTGATATATTTATAAACCATTTATACACACACACACACACACACATATACATATATGGAAAACTTCCCAGCAAAACAATCTTTATGGTAAGTCAAGAGAAGGGAGATGTGGGGAGAAATAAGACTTTGATGTAGAGGTTCTTTCTGAGAAGTTAAGTCATTGCAGAAGACGACCTTCTGAAGTCAGAAGGCCTTCAATGACCTCATTTCTACTATTTTCCATCTAACTCATTCAGACCCAGTAATATTGGCCAATTTGCTCATTTCCAAACAGCCAGACATGTCCTCACTTTAGAGATTTTGCAGTACTGCTGTCTAGAATGTTCTTTCCCCAGATGTGTTCATGACTAGCTCCCTTATCTCATCCAAGTATTTGCAAGGATGTATTTCACAGGGAAGCCCACTCTGACCATCCAGTTTAGCATTGCATCCCTACCGTGTCACTTCCACCTCTTTACTACTTGCTCTTTACAGTGGACTTACCATATTCATGTTCATATTTTCCCATGAAAACTCCATGACGAGAGTTTTTTGTTTTATTTTATTCCCTGAGGTATCTCAAGTGCCCAGAATAATTCCTGACATATAGTGGGCACTCAATGCCTATTCAGTGGATGAATGGCCTCTCTCTTACAGTGTAGGTTAGCGGCTCTCGACGTGTGGACCATGGAACACTGAGGATCCCCCAAATCATTTCAGGGTTCAGTAGGGTCAGACCTTTTTTAGTGAGAATGTTAGGGCATTGTTTGGCTTTTTACGATATTGTATTTGAATCATTGTATCCTTCATAGCCATACACAAAGAGAAAGGGGGAAAAAAAAAGCCTGAAGACTGCCCTCACTCATAAGCAGTAAAACTTATTAGTTTTAACAAATCTCCACTCTTGACTAAACACGTTTTCAATATTTTCTGAAATGAAATGGGAAGTATGCAAAAAGCATTTGTGCTGTGAAAGGAAGTATAATGGTAGTCTCAAGGAAAAGCTCTGTGAAAGCTGAATTTGCTGGTTTTTTTTTTTAAGGAATAGCTTTTTATTTGAAAAAAATGAGATAAAATATGGTTATTTAAACTTGAATATTTGCTAGACATTTACACAAAAATGAACAAAGTGAGACAGCCAATTTAAGGAAAACAACTGACAGTATTTGCTGCTAATGATAACATCTAAAAGCACAAATTAGAATATTGGAAACTTGTATTCACTCACCACTGTGATCTTGACAGCTTCCCATTATTTAAAGACCATGAGATCAGTGGTCATTGTAAAGAATGTGATTTTTTTCTTGATATTGTATAATGTAATGTGTCAGTATTTGAAAAATCTGTGTTATTCAATGAACCAATATTTTTCAAATGACCAATGCGTGATGTGAAAACATCACTGTGGGTAAAGACCCATTCAAAGTGCAAGACAGAGAAATGGGTTTTAACGTAACTAAACCCAATTTTCAATTTCATATCAAAATTAATCTCCGACTCCTGCTTGAGTTTGGGTGTGGTATCAAAGACTGTACAGAGCTATCTAAAAAAGATTATTAAGCTGTTCTTCCTTTTCAAGAGAAGTGAGATTGCACCAGAGGCCGGTCAGGAGAGACAGTGACCAGTCTAAGCAAGAGATGGTGAGAGTGTCTAGAACTTTGCTGCCCAGAGCGTGAGTTATTTGTCCTCTGTGGCTACTGAGCACTTGCTTTTGTGACTTTGTCACACTGAGATGTATCATAAGCATAAAATGCACACTGGGTTTCAAAGACTTGGTATAAAAAAATGCAAAATGTCTCCTTAATAAGTAGTTTGGTATTTATTTGTGAGAATGATAATATATTAATATATTGGGTTAAGTGTATTATTAAATGACCTTGACTATTTTTTTTATCTTTCTATTGTGGATACCAGAACATTTAAAATTACGTATCTGGCATGTATGTGTGGCTTACATTAATTTTTTTATTGGACAGCACTGTCTAAACTATGTGGGAATGAGTGGAAAGGAAGAAAAAAGGAAAGCTAAGAAATTTATGAAGAAGGATTGAAAGGACTTAGAAATAATAGAATATGTAAAATAGGAAGCTCTCTGGTTTTAGAACGTTGTGCTTCACAAATGTTACTTTTCCTTCTTTAGACTGTCGCTTGTCCCTTTGATCCATTAAAGAGATTGATCCCAAAATCATAGAAATATGTTTTTAAAAAGTCTTTATAAGTAGAATTTTATAAGCACAATTGTTATGGTTGGTATAATAAACTGATGTGTAGTTACAGAAATATTTGCATAAAGATTGTACTAGAAAAGTAACAAAATCTAGGAATCTTAAACATTTAAATACCTTTATTATAGATGATAGATGAAGCCAAGATTCAGGAATGTAGCATTTCTTTGAAACATCAAAATTTAAACTATATTAGCTTATTTTCTTGGTCGGCATAGTGAAAAATGTATGTGTTCTCCATAAATCATAATTATACTTTAAGGAGATTTAAAACTTCTAAAATAACTATTTATAGGTTCGTCTGAGACAAATACTTTTGGAGTTACATGCAATCTGAATTTCGTTACTTTATCAGAATTATAACTACATTATTTTTTATCTTAATACAAAAGTATGTGTTCAAAAGTTAAGATCAAAAAATCTTTTTGGTAAATTGTAAGCTTAATATGTATATATTCTGGAGGAAGTTAAATCTTTTTTTTTAAGATTTTATTTATTTATTGGACAGAGAGAGAGCACAAGCAGAGGGGAGAGGGAGACTCCCTGCTGAGCAGGTAGCCTAACACTTGGGCTCAATCCCAGGACCTTGGGATCATGACCTAAGCCAAGGCAGATGCTTAACTGATTGAACCACCCAAGCGCCCCTGGAGGATCTTAAATCTTAATTCATTTTGTTAGTTCAGTCAGAATTTAACCCCAAAACTCATTAGCAAATTAAAAATTCCCTTGAGTAAGTACTTTATCCTTCTGTATAAAGAGAAATTACCAGCTGTCCTTAAAAGGCAAATGATAGTTATTACTATCGTCAAGGCAAAATTTTGTTCCCAAATAGAGTCCCTAGCACATGAATTGATTTTTTTTTCCGAAAGATTACTTGTAAATGAGCTTCTGAAAGTTCAAAACGTAATTATAGGAAAGGAAATCCTACCACTTCCCTGCACCCGCATATAACAGTCTAGTTTTTCGTTGTCCTACAACTACTAAGAATCTAACACTCATACATAATAGAGCCCTGGGTGGTGTTTGTCATGGTAGGCTGATTTTGTAACACAAAACTCCAAAACATTTCAGGGGCTTAACCTAACAAATTTTATTTTTCTCTCTTGGGCCACACCAAGAGTGTGCATGGTTGGTTGGTATTCTTGACAGCATTCCAGAAAATGGAGATTTAGGGACTCAAGCTCCTTCCACCTTTTGTCTTTGACCTTCTTTAGAGTTTCATTATTCAGACTGAGACTGTGAAAGAAATGGAACCCATAAAAAAAGACAAAGTTACACAAAAAGTGTGTTAATCCCTTTTTCTAATGAAGTCAGTTTTGTTTTGTTTTGTTTTGTTTTGTTTTGTTGTGGTAAAGCCACAATCAGGATCCATGTCCATGTTTGTGGGAAATTTGGACATATGGTCCCAGTTGCCGATAATGAGTTAGCGGTACAGGATTGGAACTCCTGGTGTGAACTGTTTGCTCATAGGTGGTAATCAGACCCCTGACTTAATATAGTCTGTACACATGAATTATGAGACTTACACATGGTTTGAAAGATTTCCACTTAGTTGAGATATTTCATATAATATTTTGGATTTCTTCTCTTGAAAAATAGAAAGATCCAGCAAATCTGGACCTTTTCTCCCACATGGCAATATTCATTATGGATAAAAAACCTCTTTATTAGTTTTCTTATTTAAAAAGTGGAATGGGGGTCTCCTGGGTGGCTCAGTCAGTCGAACATCCAACTGTTGATTTCAGCTCAGGTCATAATCTCAGGGTCATGGGATGGAGCCTTTGCATCAGGCTCCTCGCTCAGTGTGGAGTCTGCTTGAGATTCTCTCCCTCTCCCTATGCCCATCTTCTGCTTACTCGCTCTCTCTTTCTAAAATAAGTAAGTGAATCTTCAAATAATAAAAATAAAAAGTGGAATGATAGTCATAACTACCTGATATGGTCATATTTGGAATTAAATGAGTGAAAACCTATGGAGTATTGTGGGAAAAAAGTAAATGATTGGTCATACACACTATCTATTACATAAATACTGCTTTTTTAATTTTTCTAAATAAGATCGCAGAAGGAATTCCATAAATGTTAGCAGAATAGAAATGATTTGTAAAAAGCTGCTACATTAGCTCATTTTAGTCCCATACGTAAATATGTATATATCTGTCTCTATTCCCACAAACATGGAATTGGCTCAAGCGGACACGAAGACTGTATATGACGATCCCATAGAATGAATTATTTGAGCCGGTCGTATCTCAGCTTCTTAGTCACACTGGATAAGTGATCTCTCGAGATTTGTAAAACCTGTGTTTTCCATTATCCTGAGTGTTCTTCAATAACCCAATTAGAAAAATAAACACACCTTCTTTCATACCTTAGAAAATGACCAACAAAACAAACACAAACCAACCACACTGGACGTCTAAGTAAGTTAGACTTACTTCTAAGTAAATAGTGATAGTGCATCAGTCTCCACCTGCCCCAACATCTAGTGGTGCTTGTGTACCAGAAGATACCATTCATTCCTGTGTTACAAATGGGAAACCACTGGGTCCACGCGTCCATGTACAGTAGGGAAGTAATGGAAGCATTGTGTTTTGGTTATAGAAGTGCTGGGGAGAAATCAGAGAGGGAGAAGAACCATGAGAGACTCTGGACCCAGGGAAACAAGCTGAGGGTTTCAGAGGGGAGGGGGATGGGGAGAGGGGGTAGCCGGTTGATGGGTATTAAGGAGGGCATGTGATATGATGAGAGCACTGGATGTTATATGCAACTGGTGAATCATTGAACACTATATCAAAAACTAATGATGTACTATACAGTGGCTAACTGAACAAAATTTAAAAAAGAAAAAAGTGCTGGTGAGTTCTGAACAGGCTCTGGTTTCCTCCCTGCAGGTTTCCGTGGTCAATCAGCTGGACATGCAGGTCATTGTTTCCAACGTGCCCCCGACTCTGGTGGAAAAGAAGATAGAAGATCTCACAGAGTAATGGATTTTTGTTTACTTACGTATTTATTTTCAGTTGGCTATAATTTTATTGAATGAGGTCCTTTTAATCATTACAGGGTTCAGATTAAACGTATATTATAAAATACCATCTTAATAATTCAGGTTACCCTTTTCCTGAAACAGATAGCTTCATCTAATGTACGCCAAGCTTCTGAGAGTGCCTGCGAATAGGTATGGAAATGAGATGTGATAAGATCTTACTCAGGATGCTTTGACTGATGCATCAATATAACCTCAAAACACTGCATATAAGAAACAAATCCTAACATTCATTATTAGAGCATATATCTTGATTTTGTGGCCCCAAATTATTCAAAAACCTCATCTCAGTGATCCAGCTAGTCCAGGGAATGCTATTTCTCAAAGTGATGTATCTAGGTGGCTCACACTTATTCTTCCAAAAACCCTGAAGACTAATTTTAAACAATACATATTTGGATTCTTCTAGAATAAATGCCACATTGTACCTTTTGATCGCTGTACACTGAACACGTCACTTTTGACTCAGAAAAAGTTGTGACTATTTTTGTGAAGCTGCAGTTCTCTAATAATATTCTGAATGCTATCGAGGATTATTACAATGCCTTTCTAGTTCACTCTGAGCGACCCGAACCTAGCCTGACGTCATTTCATAATTTTCATATGGGCACATACTTGTTATTCTGTGTCTTCCCTTGAGTTCAGGCTGACAGATGTCAATTATCACTGCTTCTCTCTAGCAAAGTATCCCTCACTTCCAAGTTGCCAGAAGAAGCTTCAGATAACAGCTAAACTTTCTGTAATTATGTGTCAAATACAGTAGGAAAAGCACAGATGGAATTCTGAGTGCTTCTCCGATAATGAAAACATGTGTGCTCTGTAACAATTATTTCTTGCAGTTTCACAAACTTAATTTTTGCGTGTCATGTACAATGTCCTATGGAGAAGGTGATTCTCAGTGTGCTCAACGTGTATGCTTGGAATATCAGTCATGCAGTGTTGGATTTACTTCTGCAAAAGGAGTTTATACACATTTAGCCTTTGTGAAAATAATAGCTGATTACACATGAGAAAATCCGGAATCATGCCTCTCTCTTAGCTGCTTTCATGTTCTCTATGGAAGCAGGCTTTCTCTGATTGTACCATCCAGAAGATGGTAGAACCATCTTCAACCTCTAGCCCTTCATTATGCTTTATTTTTCTTCAGAGAAAAATAAATACTATTTTCATTGCATGTCAATTTCCCACCAAAGCATAAGCCCCATGAGGATAGGAAACCTATCTTCCATTACTATAATTCCAGGCATATAGTGGGCACCCGATGCATATTATTGAATGAAAATTTTATACAAGCAAAATCATGATTCCTCTTTCTCATAGTGAGACATCATTTATTAACACTGAAAAAAAAATGACAAGAAAGAAGTATAACTTCATAGCAGTTTATAGTATTTTTTTTTTCCCCTTAAATGGCAATGAAGATCCGAATGAGAAAAACCAGGCACCTTTCAAGTCTTGAGAGAAAAGTATTCCTGTGAAAGGAGCTTAGAGTTCTGTAACATTGGTTTAGAAACATGAGCTGGGGCAAATCAGTTCACCCTCCCCAGACTGCCTCACCATTTCTAGTCACCTGTTCACAGAAACTAATAAAGCTAATATCATGGGGTTGCTGGCTAGAACTAAACAATATCGGCCACATAGGACAATGGGGATTGTGACTCTTCCAGGGATAACAGATATTCTAAGAAATGAGGTTAGTGACCCAGTCAGGAGGGTAAAGACAGAGTCCCCAGTTTTTCCATTCTTTCCAAAGAGGGTTGTTTAGTATGGAGCTCAGATGATGGATTCAAACAGAAGTTTGAATCTTATTGTAGCCCTGTGACCTCCAGGCAGGAGATTTCACACGTAGGGCTACGCCTCCTCATCTTGAAAATTGGAACAAGAAGGCCAATCCTCTATTGCTGTTTTTTTTTTTTTTTTTTTTTAAGATGTTATTTATTAGAGAGGGAGGGAGAGAGTGCATGTGCACACAAGTGAGGGGAGGGGCAGATGGAGAGGAGGAAGCAGACTCCCTGCAGAGCAGGGAGCCCAATGGAGAAGATCCCAGGATGCTGAGATCATGACCTGAGCTGAAGGCAGACGCTTAACTAACTGACCCATCCAGGCGCCCCGTGTTGTTTTTTTGAAAGAATTAAATAGAAATTTGCTTGTGCAGTAAGCATAGCGGCACATGCCTGATTCCTTATTGTAGATTTTTAAAAATCTGTGTTAAGTTAGAGATTCTTAAGCATAAAAATTTCTGATCCCTTTGAAAAATAGACTTCATTTTTTAGAGTAACTTTATATTCACAGCAAAATGAAGCAGAAGAATTCCCATATGCCCCCTTCCCCCACACACATGGCTTCGCTCCGTATCAACATCTCCCACCAGACTGGTACATTTGTTACAACCAGCAAACCTACACCGGCACATCAGAATCACCCCAAATTCATAGTTGACACAGGTTTACTCTCGGTGGCGTACATTCTGTGGGTTGGAACTAAAGTGTAATGACATCTGTCTATCACGGTAGTATCAATACAGAAAGGATCCACTGCTCTAAAATCCTCTGTCTGCACCCCCTTTCCATTCTTCCCCTGGCAACCACTGATCTTTTACTGGCTCCATAGGTTTGCCTTTTCCAGAATGTCACGTGGCTGGAATCATGTGGTGCGTAGCTTTTCTGATCCCTTTCTGAGCGCTGCTAGTGGTAGTGATAAGGACTGTTAGATCTGATTCGGCTCGAGTCAGCGCCAAACACTCCCTGAGCATCCGGAGGAAGAGTGGAGATACATACCGAACCGCGTAGACAACGGAATAATGGTTACAGGAATCTGAGAAGTATAAATAAGCAATTCTTCTTCTATCTGGAGAGGATAATGCTCTACATCAGGACTTGGCAAGTTAAAGCACACAGGCGACATTCAGGCTATTATCTCTTTTTGGAAATAAGTTTTACTTACACAAGGATTGTCGTGAAAATCAGTAACTTAAAAATATTGTTTTTTTTAAATTTTAAGTTACTGTTAATATTTAAAAATTATAATGGAAAGAAATAATGTAGTAAAACAATTTAAATAGCATAAACATTATAAAAATGTTTTAAAATGTTATTAGTCTATTAAATTAATATTTATAAGATTCATATCTGTCCCTCTATAGATAGTGTCCTGACCCACAACCCCCAGCTCTAAGTAAGGAGAGGGTAAGAATTATCAAATAATGTAAGGATGTTAAATAAACGTAGGAGTTCATTGCCCCAGTGGCCAGGCTCACCAGCTCACACATTTCCTGTAGACATTCTCTGATCGCAAGTCACACCATCACTAAAGCCATTTTCTATATCTCCCACGAGACATCCTCACCCTACAAGTGGGAAAACTTGAATTCCATACGATCATCACTTTTATTTCTTCCTTTAGGCAGACTCATAAATGAGGCCAGATCATAATCCATAGTTTTCTCGGTAAGCATGAAATCAGTGCAAACTGGGAGGGTTGATAAAAGAAAAATGTAATGACCGAAGACATTGATTTCATGACGGGGAAGGTTTTGCAGAGGGCGGACAGTATCCTTTGATGGCAAAGAACACAATGCCTTGAAAATAGAAAGCTCCTTTAAAGGGGCATTGCCATAGTGATGGGAATGATCATTCCCCAGTCCCCTGAAACTGACGTAAATGCTGTAATGAAAATTGTTTTATGACTTTTGTCATTTGGAGCTTATAGAATTAACCAATGCTCCTTTCTGGTGAAACACATTTCTTTTAAATTTTATTAATGTATTCAGCAAATTCCAGTGAGAATCTGGGCCCACAGGTGGCCTTTCGTGTTTGTGTTCTGAAGTATTTTAGGTGGAATTTATGATTTATCTCTTCGTGGGCCTTGTGTTTCTCTTACAAATTTTGCAAATAAGCAGTGGGATAAATGGCTGGGAGGATAAGGGTACAGAAACTCAACTTACCAGCAAAGCCCTGGCAAGGGTGTCTCCAGAGGAAGGTAGGAGACGTTTGCATCTGTGTCTCCATTCTCCTCTACTTCACCATGGAGCCCAAAGGAGCAAAAGAAGCTTGGGATTCTAAGGTTTAAATCTTGAAGAATTGGCAGAAATGGCATTTTTGAAAAGTATACATGAAGGAGTTTTTAGCAGTCCTACCTTACAGCAGGAATTGGAATTGATCAAGGTCATGGAGTTGCTCAAACACTTCTCTTACTTTAAATACAATATGGAAATTCAGTGGTAGTAGGACTTTACTGAAGTAGGTATTGATTGGTGGAGAAGGACCCATCTCCATTAAATATTGATACAGCATCTGAAATGTGCCTGCATAACTAACTGATGGATTAAGGTTACAAAACATACATCAGAAATCAGGCCAGGATACATATTTCTAGGAGGAGAATTGTGAAGTCTCTTGGGAAGAGAACTATGAAATGGTAAACAATAAATACTAGCACTTATATTTTCTTAAATCAGTGGAATAAAGACTGGTCTTGAGGGGAAAGGTCAGATGGAAAGGTAAATCAATAAACACCTTAGCTTTGATCATTCTTACCCTCTCCTTACTCAGAGCTGGGGGTGGGCAGTCAGGACACCACCTCTAAAGGGACAGATATGAATCTTATAAATACTAATGTTAATAGACTAATAATACATTTTAAAACAATTTTTATAATGTCTATAATGTTATTTAAGTTGTTTTAGTACATTATTTCTATTATAATTTTTAAATGTTAACAGTAATTTAAAATTTAAAAATAATACTTTTAAATTACTGATTTTAATGACAATCCTTATGTAAGTAAAAGTTTATCTCCAAAAAAAGAAAATAGCATGAATTGAGCCCTATGTGTTTTAACTTGCCAAGTCCTAATTTAGAGCATTCTATTCTCCAAATAGGGGAAAAAAAAAAAAAAAAAAAGCTTATTTATTCTATTCAGATTCCTATACGAAAACA